GAGTTCCCATGGAACCAGGTTGGAGATGTTGTGGTGCAAAGGGTCTGTATCCGCCAAGGTGAATGAGCGGACGGTGGTGGACTCGAAGATGCGATGGACTTGACGAAGAACGTCCATCCATGCTGCTGGGTCCTGCATGGGTTCTTGATACAGGACTTCGTGCGCTGTGAGGAAGCGCTGTGGCCATCGTCTGCGAGCTTCAATCTTGATGGCACGTAGGATTGCCCTGCACATCTTCTCCGGGTAGCGTGCACTGAGCCGGACTTCCTTGCCGATGAGTGGCACGCAGTACATCTGTTCTTCTTTGGTGAGCTTCCTCGAGAGGGCAATGGCGAGCTCTCTGGAGTTGGTGAGCCACTGGTAGACCTTGCGGATTGGGTCTCTTTGGCTGTTGCATCCGCCATAGGCTCCTGCGTGACACTGGACCACATACACATCATCTCGAATGGCCAGGGTTTGAAGTTCTGGTAACTCCCAGATGCGGGATGGTGCAGGGTTCTCGAACAGGAAGAAGTTGCCTTGTTCGATCTGCCGATAGCAGGCTCGGATGCCTTCTTTGACGAGGGGGTATTGTTTTTGCCGCTTGTAGATGAGCTCATCCATGCGGTCCTTCCCCTTGTAGTTGAGGTTTTCATTGAAGATGTTCCAATCGGTGCATTCGGTCTCCACCAACACCAGAAGGGGCCGATAGGCCGTCTGAGCTGCTCGCCAGGACTGTTTGTCCTTGGTGGTTGTCATGTCTTTGTTGTAGAGGAGGTCGTAGGGCTCCATGGCATGGAGGCCATACTGGTGAGCAAGGAAGGTGACGTCGGCATGGCCAGCATAGAGCTCCATGATGTCAATCTTGGGCATGTCCTTCACAGAAGGGAGCTTGTCATAGATCTGTGCCTCTACGGAGAGGATGGATGCAGATCTCTCGATGTTGCCGCTCAGCCGTCGAATTGCTCCCAGTCGAACTCCTCGTCGCTGATCTCCTGAACTGGTGGTTCCATGAATTGGTCCCATGCCGGATTCCAGCCCGGTGGCAGCCTGGGATCTTCGAAGCTGTTCTCGTCGCTGAGACGGTCCTGGTCCAGCAGCCTCTCCAGTCCCTCCTCGATGTCGTCGTTGAGGGGTTGAGTCCATTGGACTGGTAGTGCTGGTTCTCCATGACGAAGCCTGTAGTTCTGGACGGTCTCCATGACGGTCTGCTGCCTGCTGGAAGGCTGTGCCTTGTTCTTGGGGACAGGACCAGCGGTCTTCTTGGAACCTGATGTCGTTCTGGATGATGTCTTGGAATGCTTGACCGTAGGAGGCAGTGGTGTCTGTGCCATGTCGCCCGGATAAGGATACCCCGAGCTGCTGCTTGTCCAGGGGAAGGCAGTGGCAACCGTGAGGAATTGGATCCCCCTGTGAAGAGCTCCCAGCCGTTGTCCGCTCTGTTCCACTTCCAGCGGATGTTGCACTGAAGACACTGAGCGTAGCTGCCGCGTCGATTCCCCGACCGTTTGATGTGGTCGTGTGGACAATCCGGCTGTGGGGCATAGGTTGCCTGAGGCTTCTTGCTCTTGGGCTTCGGGTTGACCTTCGCCGTGGCAGATGCGACTGCGCTCTCTCGTACAGGTTGTCGGCGAAGGAACCGCTGTGCCTGCTTGGCCCAATCCATGAGCACCTTCGTGAGGAATCTCCATCGCCAGAGCCACTCGGGCGGTGGAGGCCTGTCCAAGTTCATGGGGTGCTTCGCTGTGCGGACCGAGGTGAAGCGGGCTCGCTCCCTTGGACATGGCTTGAGATGAAAGCAGGTGGTAGGAAACAAACTCACGGACGTGGCCAGCTTTGCAATGCTCTTGCAACTCATGTAGATGATCATGCCAAAAACGAAAACAACGCTGCTGTGGTGCGAACTCTGACACGTTCAACCCGAGGTGGCCATTGACCAAAACAAGGGGTAAAGTGACATCAAATAGACCCAAGTAAACTTCATGCTTGTTCATATCGATGATGGCCCCGACATCCTGCAACCATGTTCTGCTAGCCAGGCATGGGATCTGGGCTTCAAGAATGCAGGGTGCCATAACACACAAAAACTGACCAAACCCGACGGGGAAGTACATGGTGTAGGTCGAGTGGATCGGAGCACCTTTCCCAAACTCGAAATACTCTGAAGTGTCCAGCTCGAAGGGGGTAATAGACCATGACTTCATCTGATGCTTTTGTGCCTCCGACCAACTGCGACCTGCACACAACCGTTGACACGCGGTATCGAGGATGATGTGACCAGCAGCCTTTGTTGCGCCCGTCAAGCAGATCTGGTTGGTTGGGCACTGTGAGACAAAAACGGAGTGGGCCGTGTGTTCAGGCTTATCCTCGTCATCGTGCCCACCATAATGGTTAAGGTAGTGCACGGACCTAGTCTTGCCGCCCTTGTCGGTCTTGCCAAGGCCCTTGCCGTCTTTTGGTGCCCTTGCCAGAGCTCTTGCCTTTTGCGCTGACTGCGCACTCGGCATCTCCTGCCCAGTGTCCTTGAGCTCCGCACGCTGAACAGTGCGTCATCTTCTTCCGGTCGGAGATCGAACGCTTGGGCATGGAGGTAGAAGTCGATGAAGATCCATACTTGCGGGCCTGCAAAACACCCGCTAGCTTTCGTGCCGTGACTGTGAGAATCTGTGCGACTTCGGGGTCGTCTTCATCCCACTCAAGCTCTTCCTGATCGGCTTGAGAAGTCACTTCATTGTCTGCGTCCTCCTCTGCTGGAGGCTCTTCCGGGTCAGGGTCCATGTCGGGCTCCTCCATGGTGAGGTCGGTCTCGTTGGCCTCAGTGACGAAGGTCTGACGAGGTGGAGGTGTACCCTTGCCCTTTGACTTGCCTTTTCCGCCGGCTGGCGGCGGTGCGCCTCCTCTGAATCCTTTCCCACCAGGCTGGTGGAGAGGTGGCGGGAGCGGTTTGTGCTCCGGCCACTGAAACAGCATGACATCCTTGATGTTGTCAAACTCTAGCGACTGGCCTGTGCCAATGAGGATTTGGCGCTGATGTTCTTGTGACAGCTTGGCTCTTTCGAGCATCCTGGCGCCCCGAGCTTCGGCGTCATACATGTCGGTGACCTTGATCCCGACGGTGCCCAATGCCCGCTCTGTGCGAGCGTAGCGGTTCACGAAGCTCCTCATCGTCTCTTGTGGCGCTCGGTAGATATGCTCATATGTATTGAGCAGCTGTCGTTTGAGGTGTACTGAACGAGTCTCAACCGCCTTCTGGATGGTGTCCATGATGAAGGTGACTCCATCCACATCGAAGATCTTCTCCAATGGGGCATCCTCAAGCTCCTCTTCCAACTCGCCCTTGAGGCTGTTGAAGAGAAGGATGCCGGCCTCGCGCTTTGGGACGTAGTTCACGACCTGCAAGGCCCACATTTCAATCCTTTTCTTCCACTTCCGGAAGGCGGCAAGGTCATTCTTGTCATAGTGCCAGCCTGGCGGCTGGGGCGGCTGTCCGCCGCGGTAGCGGACACCATGAGTGGGTCCTTTCAAGGTGTTCCAGGTGCTCGGAGAGCTCGTGCTTCCACCAGGTGTACCTCGGCCGTGATCCGACGGAGGCGGATCACCAGGGTCAGGATCTGGGAGATGAGGCTCTGAAGGTGCCTTAGGTGATCTTGAAGCGCTCTTCCGTGGACCCTGAGGTTGGCCATGAGGTGAACCATGTGGTGAACCAAACGGAGGTCCATGTGGTGAACCATGTGGTGAGCCAAACGGAGGTCCATGTCCCTGTGATGGTGTCGGCTCCGATGGGGCCTTTCGCCTTCGTCTTCTTCGTTTGGGCTCCGGGACAACGTCCTGTGGATTCCCTTCAGGTCGAGGCGATGGCCTGTGACTGGGCGTGATGGTCGGGTCATAGGTGGCCGTCTCGGTCTCTGCCCATTCTGACTCTGACCCTTGTGATCCGTCAGGACCACCGGGAGGTGAGCCAACTGGTACTTGGGGAACTCTAGGAACATGTACATGAGGTAATCCTGGAACATGTGCGTGGGGTACTCCGGAAGGTCCTAGGTGAGGTCGTCCAAGGAACATGGTGGTCATCGGGGTACTCCATGAGGTAGTGGTGTACATCTCAGGTGCAGTGTGGTAGGTCGTATTGGGCTCAGCTCTAACCTGGCCGGTCGGATCGGGCTCCAAGGTGCCTGCACGATGGCCTAGGTGAACTGGTTGGGACTGCAGTGAGAAAGTCATCGAACCGCAGTCCATACAGCGCCAGCTCTGCCGTTGGTCGCACCAGGCATAGCTCCAAGATCTGCATGCCGCGCATCGCCAGCAATCATCTTCCGTCAAGTCGGCGTGAAAGGCGACGGGCTCCAAGGAGGTCTCTGACCTAGGTGGCGAACCAAGGGAGGGGCGCCACGCCATCCCAGCCGCACCTGCAGCGCGGTCAAGCAGCGGCTGGTCTTCCAGCAACGCCGCGTCGCGTCGAAGGGGCATGTCGGCGGAAACCGGCACCCGGAGCTTAGGGCTCCGCTGCCAACACAGCGAGATGCGTGCTCATGCACTCGCCTCTTTTCTAAAGCTCGAAAGCTGGCTAAAGGTGCACCTGCGGACGTGAGAGTGTGAGGGACCTGAATCACGAACGGGCATGCAAAGAGCAAGTCACTTTGAAATTCTCACTAACTATATAATTGACAAACACATGGTGACGGGCGGCGCTACAACCAACTCAAGGTCCAGCAATGCACTGGAGTCCTTCTTATTTCTTCTTGTTCTCCTGCTTCTTCCAAGCTTCGAGACATCTATCCCGGCAAAGCACTGAAGGTGCAGCAAAGCGAGGCAACAGGCTGCTACCACGTGGTGTGGGCGCTCTGGCCAAGCTGCCGAAAAGGATTTGCACTATATAATGACCGCCAATGTCCAGTGCCAAACATAGAGGCCCATCATGATCCATCGGACAGCATCCAAGCAAGCCCAAATGCGGAATAAGAGGGTCATCAGTTCGTCTACAATTATATAATGCTTCAGTGGACAGGATTGTCTCTCCTCTAGCCAGGATGCATGGGGACAGCCATTTGGATCTTGCTGGAGCAATTCCTCTGTCGGCAGCTTGTGGCACAGGTGCTGTAAAACTTTCACAGGATGCAGCCTCAGCTGTCTGCCAGAGAGGCTTGCCAAAACCCGTCCCCAAACACTTTGTCTATCACAAGTTAGCCGAACAGCCAGGAGTGGCAGTAAATCACTTGGGTCCGTTGTAGCCGCCCTACCAATCCAAAGCCCCTGTATTTTTGAATTACCTGCTCCAGCATGAGTCAAGAGCAAGAGAACCTAATGACGAAGGGGGGTGGATTGCCAGCATGTCACAACAAACAAAAAAATAATGTAGACTCTTGATTAATACACCCCCCCAGTTGAATTGAAAATCCTCTTCAAGGGGGGGTGTTTATTAATCAAGAGTCTACATTATAAATATATCAAATATACAGTGCGCAGGTATATATATATATTTTTTTTTGCAGCCGGGCTCTGCTGCCCTTCCTCTTTCTCCAAGACCCTTCCTGTTTCGCCTGTTTCGGTCGTCTAATCTCCGAGGCCTCGACTGTAGTGGCAGCACGCCACGCGGCCCAAGCCGAGCCGATACGCATCGGCGATCGGCGTGGGCCACGCTCAAGGGAGCGATGCGGCACGCAGCAGTGCAAGGCCTCCCCAGGCCCATTTGGATGGAGTCCACCCATCCACACCTCACGAGCACCTAATTACGACCGTTATGCCGACCTGTTTCAAGAAGTTTTTGAACTGGTGCTGCCAGACCCGTTCAGTGTGAAACTTGAAAAGGAGCTAGGAAGGATGGGTCACTCCGGTGATATTGGTCTTCCAGCTCTCCTCTTGAAACACGAACAGTCGCCGGACAAAAACCACCTCAAACTGACTGTGTCTTTCTCCATCTTTGGTAGCCCATGCGTTTCTTTGAAGAAGGGCAACATAAGGCAACTATACCAGGACCTTCCAACGGGTGGTTTCAGAAGCCTAACAGGTGTTTTCTGGGCACCTGTTGTCACCAAGAAACACCTGCTGGAGCGTCCAGGTAGCCTTTCCATGATCTCGAAAGAACAAAACACAACGCTGAAGCCTTGCCGAAACGACGAAAAAAGCACCAAGGTCACTGACTGGACGGTCGACGGAGCCCTGTGATCCGCTGTGATCCGCTTTCGAGTCCGGCCTGTGGGCGACATCTTGGGCCGGGCAATGATGAGGCTGCACTGTGCCTCCCACAGTCGCGAACAAATCGCACCGCAGTTGGAAGGATTGGAAGGATCAAAGACCAGCGGCGGTCTCTGTCTCAGTTCTGTCTACCTGTCTACCTGATTGTTGTTTTTTTTGCGGAGGTCATTTACCCCCCTCAAGATTATGAATCCGGCAATTTTCATCCCACTGCAGTTGAATTAGGATCTACTCCGATAGCAACTATGGATTTTGCATGGTTTTGGAGTTTGCGCACGAGGAGGAGATTGGTGCCAGGACACCACCCCCACAAAATGTCACCGGACGGAATATGGACCATGGATCTTGCATTTAGTATCACAAGCACTTCCTGACGCGCTCAAAATTAGTTTAGGATTTGGTTGTTTTCTTAAGGGTTTTGATGGGTTTTGTATTATTCTTCTTGCGCAAGGCGCAAGGATTTCCAAGGAAAATTGCAGGACATTGGAAGGCAGCGCCTCCCCCCCAAGACCACGCAAACCGTGAAGAACGTCTATGTATAAGATTTACCCTCCGTAGATTAGATGGGTTCCTCCAAATTCAAGATTTTACCCAGCCTGAGGTGATCTACAAAAGGTAGGCTCAGCAAAGGCTCCTTCTGAGTGGCCTTCCAAAATGTATGCTCCAAGAGTTGGAATTGCCCCTTCCTTCCTTCCTTCCTTGTTTCCTTCCTTCCTTCCTTCCTTCCTTCCGACCACCAGAAGCAAAAGACACTGGCCGCTGCAAGCAGCATAGACTGACAATCCGGCCACTTGCAACAGCACTGGGTCTAGGAAACTGCCCACTGCAACAAAGAGCCAAAAGCCAAGAAGCCGAAAGCCAACAAGCCCAAAGCCAAGAGGCAAAAAGCCAAGAAGCAAAAAGCCAAGAAGCTCAAAGCCAAGAAGCAAGAAGCCTAGAGCCAGAACCACCAATAATGAGACAGCAGCACAATGCCACTCAGAAGCTCTGCCACGGTGACCCACGGTGCATATATATATATATATATAATGGTACTTGCCACACACACAAAAAACACACACACACACAATTTCTGACTGGGCATACTTAAGTTGAGTGAGGCAATTGTCTTCTGGTCCTGAATGGGCAGGGCTCGAGCTTACCTGTAGGCTTAGCTTATAGGATTCACCCGTTGCCCCTACGTGGTAGCCATACCACATCCTCCTTCGCCCACCTGGCATAGACTTGCCAGAAGGCGACGACAACGGGCACGCAGAGTGCTCAGGAGAGCGAAAAAGAAGAGGGCATATCGGAATCCCAAATTGCCGACAGCCCGAATCCTGCAAGCGAAAAGCTTGCTAGAGAGGCACCACTCAAGGCCTCGATACAGCATCGCTACAGCAACAAAGGCGATGACATGGGGGAAAAGCCGCAACTCGTGGAAAGAGACGAGTTGGACATGGGAAGACAGCAGAAAGCAGAAGCCAAAGAAGAACCAGAGTGTGTACCTCTACGACCAAGATGGCAAAAAGGTCGAGGTCAAGGCAGATGGGGAGTCTGGCTCATTATCTGGGCCTGCATCCTTGGAGGAGGGCTTGCGCAACGAGAACAAGCTCTTGAAGGAGGCTTTGAAGAAGATGAGCGATGGCGAAACCACAGCTGTCGACAATGCAGTCAAGGGGATGCTCAAAGCCAACCCCAGAGAAGAGCTCAAGGAAAAGCAAAAAGCCTTGAACCAGGAACGCAAAGCCCTGAACAAGACAGAACGTATCCGAGAAGAAATCGCCAAGAAGCAGAACAAGTTCAAAGGCTGGAAGGAGGGCATCCTAAGGGGGGTCGAGATGAAGAGCAAGGAGCATACAGAAGAAATAGCTCGCTTGACGGCAGAGCTGAAGGATGCCGAAACCGAGGCAGCCAACAACCCAGAGGGCGACAATGGCATGGATACGGACGAAGACAAGGGAGACTCAGAAGATGCAAGTCAAGAATTGGCCGAGCTGCGCCGCCAGATGGGGTTCTTCATCACCTACACTCAGGGGATGGAGCGGAGACAGCAGCAGATGGCAGACCAGATGACTGCATTGATGGGTCTGATCCAAGGACAGGCGGAGAATGGGACCCCTTTCACTCCGCAGCAGCCACTAAGGATCACCAGGTCACAGCCAAGGGAGAAGCGATCACCCAGATCGAGAACGCCACCCCAAGACGATGGCCTGATGGAAAAGACCAAGATTCAAGAAGATGGATATGGTGGACTCCTTCCAGACGAGGTTCTGGAGCAGAGTGCAATCGAGGAAGCTGTGATCAAACAGCAGCTGGAAGCCTTGCCTGGAGACATCCAGGAACGCATTTGGAAGACTTTCGAGGCCAGTGGGGAGGTCTGCAAGTCCTTTGTGCAGCTTCAGCCCCTTATCGAGAACGAGTTGAAAATCATGCCCAAGTTCGATCCCAAGAGCTTGGCAATGGCTTCATCGGACCTGCCGATCACAAATGGGTCGCCATATGGAAAGGCAGCGCGAGGCAAAACCAGGGCTGCTACTCCATACCAATCCCCTGGAAAGAAAAAGAACAAGAGTCCGCAGAATTCCCAGGAGAGAAAGAAGCAGAAGAAGGAAAAGCTCCAGGGAAAGAGTGGCACATGCCGCCTCGAGGACACCTTGGACTAGCAGTACTGAGTGCTAGTGATGGAATGCTGGATAGCTGCGCCAAATTTCAAGGCTGCAGTAAGCCAGGCAATACTTTGTTTCACCTAGATGGCCGACCCGAGTTTTTTCATCTGACGGGTGCCAGTTCATTTTTTTTGCCAGAATTGTCTGAGGGTTTTGCTGACCTAGGTCACCGATGTTTCGATGGGATTTTTTCTCCTCAGGAGTCCAGGTGTTTCGACACCGATGCTCGAGACATGCCTGATCTGGGCTGGCAATCTGAGACGTTGATTGCTCATGAACAGAACAGCAAAGCATCGAACAGTGACTCCGATCCAAGAGAGTGGATCGTGGCTGTGCCTAAGCTCGTCTCCTGGAAATGGGTCTTTTTCCAGTGCATGACTGTCGCATGGGCTATGATGACGGTGCGACTGATCCAGCTTGTTTGTACAGTGACAAGTAATGGATGCCGAAAGCATAGAATGATCAAGCAGCCCACTCAGCAAGAATGCCGAGACCTAGTCTGTCTGCTTTTAGGAAGTGGATGTTGGCCAGTGGCTTGTCTTGAATGCATACCGTATGGGACTAGGGAAACTTGGGGCATTGTCTTCCTTGTCTCATTTGTGAAGATCGTAGCAGTAGGGAAAGCAACTGTCGGTTGCCTCTATGCAGGGCGGAGACGTGAAGAAGCTCGATTTGCGGTAAAGGGACTTGCAGGTCTTCAGACCGTCAAGAGAAGTAGGAGACAGAGGCCTATACGTGCTGGACGGAGGCTAAAAGGCCTCTTCCTCTTGTGTAATCTAGGCCTTTCGCATGCTGTGACTTTCGGACAAAGCATCCTACATGCTCATAACAATGAACAAGAAGTAGATCGTCTCCGGACGCACAGCACCAACCATAGTGCTGTTGTGGAAGATAGTCAAGAAAGCACCCCAGTCTCTTGGCCTTGTGGAAGGGAGTGCTCTAACGGAACCATAAGAAGGTTCGCAGAAGGCCATGACTCCGTGTTGTCTTCTTTGCCTGTGTTCAAGCAGTGTCCCTTGGCTTTCGGCGCCTCCAAGTGTGATGCGCTGAACCCTCGCTTTGACATTTGCAATGAAGGTGATTGGAGTCTTGCTCCAGGTCGCCAGACCTGTCGAGACAGTTTTGAGCCACATTTTGTTTCGAGCCAAGCCAGAAGTGCAGCCTCGATGAGTAGTGGTGACCAACCAAACTTGAGATACGATAGTGTTGGTGATCCTGTTTCCATGATGCAGGTCGCTGCCCCAACAATTAGTGTCGATATGCTGGCTTATTTTCTTCAGACGGAGTTGCCGAGTTATTTCGACATACCAACATGGCTACACACATGGGACAGGCGATATGAGTGGGCAGCAGTCCATAAGGTGGTGAGAGCTAGAACTGACCAGGCTATCCGTGAACAGGTCCTAAATGCATGGAGGGACCACCAGGTACGGAGAACGGCGACGATTGTCAAAGTTCGACAGCTCGAGACACTACGAGGGCGACTGCAACCGACCCTGTTGGTGGTGCCGGTTGCCACTGAGGACTGGATCATCACACTTTGCCAAGCGCACACTCCTACACAAGATTGGATGGGGACTTTTATGTTCAATGTTGGTAGTTTTCCGGCTGCGTACGAAATTTTTCGTCTGGCAATTCCCTTCAATCAATGCGTTTGGAGCTGTGAGTGTTGGGTCGAGATTGGTCGTGTGCAATATTCGATCTATGACCGAATCCCTATTTTTGAAGGAGTCTTCATGCAGTTGTTTGAGCGCCAGGCACAGGACCAAAGTGGCACCTCGACGTGTGAAGGTTCTGACGATGAAGAAGCGACTGACGAGGACACCCTAGACACCGGGAGTTCGGCTACCTCAGAGCAAGGAGACATGCTCAATGAGAGCACCGGACCTGACCTAACATGGATGATGCAGACTTCCATGATTCCCATTGACAGCCTCCTCGACAACATCAGATCACACTATGGTACAGTGTTCAACGACAGACAGACGGCTAGCGAGTCCGATGTGGTCAAGTCGTACACACTTGCTGTCACCGGCATTGATAGGATCGATATGCTTTCGGTGCATACGTGGTTCGTCAGTGCCGGGCACCCTATGCGCTTTTTGCTAGATGCTGTATCCTCCAGATGGAAGCCCCTTTCTCACTAAGGCTCCATGAACTTTGGGATGATGTATCGCAGGGAGTAGCTGTAGGATGGACTGTCCCGTATCCGGAAAGAATGCCAGTCAGTCTTCGCAGGAGGCCTGTCGATTTACTAGGAGTCCCGTATACACAACTTGAGAATGGCTTTCGGGCCTTCCTTATAGACATCCTCAGTTTTAGCATACCTAGAAGGCTCGTGATAGGAGTGCAGAACTGTGTACAAGTCTCAATGTTAGTGGCTAGAATAGGGCTCAAGGAGGTTTGTGACCATCCGCGTAACACTTGTAGTCTTATGCAGACAGATGCCGAGCTCAGACCTGAGAGCCGTACCTGGCGATATTCTGATCAGGTGTGTGAAAGCCATGGCTCTACATTTGAGCTAGTAATTGCTCCAACTGAGTTGCGAGCTCAATGTCCTGGAGCACACCAGACCATGTTCAGCCAGGCCACTGAAGAAAGCACGCTCATGCAGGTAGGAGTTGGGGACAGTTGTCGCAGAACATCCCCCTCAATGCTGTACTTCCCAAGAGCCGACCAAAGTAGGGTGTTCCTTTACCTGAAACGCTGGTTTGAGCAGACGGGAGAAGTTTCCATATGGATTCATGAGAATGATAATGAGATTGTGCAAGAACATGTGTCTCGATGCGAGTTCACTAGGGTTGAAGCTTTTTTTAGTGAATGTGCTTACTTGTGGATGCACATTGCACCAGGACGCCTCAATTTTGTCACAGTTGAGCCACCACCTCGAATGCTAGGGACACCAAGACCACATCTTCTCATCATTCCGAACCTCCGATCCACTGATAGGCCCTTTCTCTGCCAAGTGTTTTCACAGGAAGGAACCAATGCGCTTTCGGTCAGGCTCCCAGTTCCATACCCACCGACAGATGTGGCGATGCTTTTTACCCTGGCATTGCCGCAAAATGATTGCCAGCACGGAGCGCTATGTTATGCTATGTATGAAGGTGAGAGATACCTGCTAAGACATGATATCGATGTTCAGACTGGAGCCTTTATCAAGCTGTTCGAACTTGTTGACCAGCAAGCAAGGTCGGAACAGACTGATTGTGCTTCGGACACTGATCTCTGGACTGAAGACTCCAGTATACAGTGGAACAGTGAATATGACGCAGGTTCTGAACCCCATGAACCAGACGAGTTCTGGTTCGATCAAGGAGGACTCTGGCAAACGGCAGCCAAACTGTCACTCACACATGACGAACAGGGGGCCGAGCCTGATATGTCGTACTTCGATGATGATTTCCAGCACTATCAGATCTGGAGGCAACAGGTTCGGCAAGTGATGAGGCATACTGTGACATACAACTTTGGGCCTCTACTGGAAGAAGTGCGGGCTTACAGTACTGCACATACAGCCTGGCCGGACTTTGTTGTGGTCATCTTACCTGATACCTGGTTCCGAGGGAGCCCAGGAGATGGATGGAACATTGATAGTGAGCAGTTGACTGTCTACCTCCGGGAGACCACTCTCCAGCACCTTCCGACGGAGAAGGAGATCGAAATGTATGCTGTCAGGCCTTTTGTGACGCCGAGAGAGCAAAGCCATGGAGAGGCCTTCTATATCCTGATCGATGAGGAGGCTACACGAGGAAGGGTGGCTATTTTGGTGGTCGAAGATCACTGGGAAGCTGATACATACCAACTATGGCCCATCAAGGTGCCAGAACTTGTCGATACATGGCAGATACTCGAGGAAGTGCACAAGGCAACAGAATGTGACAATTTCGAAACATTATGCAAGCTTGAGTATGACCTCCATGAATTGCCTCACCTTGTACCATGGCGTGTTATCCCGGGTATGAAGCTGCATTTGACTATCCGACCTGCATGTCAATCATATATGTCTGAATATGACGAGGAGGGAGATGAGATACAGCTGATGCAGGTAGCGGAAGGGATGCCAATGGAGCTGGACCAAGACGACCAGCATCGACGAAGACTGATTGAGGATGCTGTCTACTACCAGATAGCCCGGCATCTCGACGCTCGACTCATCCAACACCCCTACGGAGGTGTGACCAAAGTGTGGCTTGTGCCGGGAGAGGGCATTTCCGGACATGATGCTGCGGTGCTGTTGGAGTTACGCACGGCAATACCTTCTTGGGCAGATTGGATCAGTGAGTCATGGCGTAACAAGCCATTGAACCCGCGGTTCCAGATCATATCACAACAGCTGCCTCCCATCAGCCCTAAGCGAATCGATTTCCACCTTTTCGGGGCCAGCAAGACGGATTTAGCATCGGGACTTCGAGTCCTTCTCATCGATCTCACCTACAACCGGGTCTTGCGACGAGGCGTTGTGCGTTGTCCGATTCTGGCGACTGTGGCGGAGATCGTGAAACATTTCACAAGTCGCAACCTCCCAACAGATAGTCCGATCCTGGAAAAGTTCGAAATGCACTGGAGGAGTGGTGGCATGGTGCATGTTTACAAGCCTTTTCAAATCCCGGCGGCTCCTGATGGATCCTATGTTCAAGTGGTTATGCGAAGCACGCCAGAGACAAGCCGAGTCTTAACAAGCCCGCCAGGGGAGATATGCAGGGATTTCCCACATCTCCTGGAACTCGACCCAAGCGATGAGATTGGCTTTATGCAGTTGCCACTGCAGCACCGTGACAATGGATTGGAGAGACTTGCTGAAGACCCGCTCTACCGAGCAGTGCAAGGCGTGCAACGGCTCTTGCGCCTAGATCTTCGTCAAGCAGTACGGCTTACCTTATGGGCCCTTGAGCACGATGAGGAAGGGAACAATGGGGAGGGAGAGACGATTCTCCTCTTGCCTGCCGATGCAAATTGGTCCAACCTGTTCGAGCCAAAAGAGGGCTCAGTACATGAGCCCATATATATGGTGTGCCAGCCACAGCCTCAGATGCAAATTGGAGGACAAGCAATACATGTTTTTCGGATAGTATATCCTGTGCGAGTGGATCTTAATCAGCGAAGTTTGAAGCTATCACTGACGGTCCATAAGCGGCGTAGCGTCGGAACGGAAATCGCACCTTTTCTAGTCGCTTGATCCTTGAGCCAAAGTACATATGGTACATATATATATGTACATGTTGCACTATACATGTCGCTGCACTTCCATTCGCACCCCCCATGTGAACGGTAACAATATGTTCCGATCACACACGAAAATTTAGGGATGTAAGTGCTACAAAGAAATTGTATGATTTGCCGCGAGACTCATATGAGGCTCATACTACAGAACATGCTGGACTAAAGCGGACTTTTACATATAAAGTGTGCAACTATGGCTCAGAACCTATGAAATAAAAGTAAATCGAATTGAATAAGTGAGACAGTCATGAGGCCTCGCTCAGTATCCACTCAAAAGAGCTTCGCTTTGATGTAGACCCGAACTGGTGACTTCCACGTAGATGTCACATCGGCAACTGACTTCACACTTCTCAAAGATGTAGGTTTTGGTTTGGATACACTTACAGAACGGCAGGTCGGAGAGACAGTCGGTGATTGTCTTCCTTCCATTATGCTCATGGTATCAAATCAAATTGTCGATTTGCAATGGTACACTTACAGTGTTCCAGGTCAGATAGACATCCGGTGAATGACTTCCTCCCTGGTTTGCATGGTATCCTCCTAGTCGTTCAAAGAAATCACCACTGGTGATAACCTCTCCATCCACGATGATCCCAGTTGCCTTGAGCATCCCACCGATCATCTTCTCCCTTCTTGGACTTTCCCTTGGACTTGCTCTTTCCCTTTCCCTTTTCAGAAGGTTGAGGTACTTCGCGACGTTCTTGCGTTAACGCCGGCCTCCAAGATGTTCCAGATTGGCCTCCTCCTTTGGAATGTCCTCGGGATGATGAAGAAGTTGTACCTTCTGCTGCATGTGCGTTGGCGGCAAGATCTTCCTGCAAAGCTTGCTCGAACGCATCGGTAGCACTGGATGGTGATTTATCACGTGGTCTGGCTTTTGGAGCAGCCTTCACCTTGTTCTCCTCTGCTGATGGGGGCCCGAAACTCTTAGGTGCCGCTGAAGGTTTTGGTTCCTCACTTGGCGCTGACGACGGCTTGGCCTCGGTTCTGGGTGTAGATGCTGGCTTAGCTGTTGCCTTGGCCGCCTGCTTCTTCTTGCCCTGAAATCTCCTTGGCCCTATCTCCAAAGCCTAGACGATTGGTAAGAGCTTGAACATGCTTGTGTTCTATCACGCTCATCCATCTCTCTGTATGTCCAACGTTGGGATTCCTGGCCATTGACTCTATGACTTCCTGAGCTTGTGGGGGCAACCTGATTTCATGTTGATCAATGATCAAAAGAATAGACTTCTCCCACTTGCTCTTCATTCTCGAGTACATGATGTCCAGAGGATCGATCACCTTGTGGTAGGGTGATGTAATGTCGGTTCTAAAATAAGAATATGTCCGACATCCATAAATCGCATGGATGCACTTCTGTACCAATTCAGTCATTGCACTGGCTTTCTTCGCTTTCAACTCCTCAAGCTGGGCATCAGTCAAGTCGGTGGAGTATTCGAAGTTGCCATATTCCCCTTTGAAGGATTTCGGAGTATGACCGAATGATAGGATCATGAGCGCTACCTTGCAAATGAATTGTTCTCCTCTGAATCGGTGCCAGGCCTCCTCAGTTGTAATGTTGTTGTCGTTGGCAAAGTTTAACATCATGTCATCTGTTGGATCCAATGGTCTCCCATCGTCATCGATTTCAGTGGAATCTCCTGTACCAAACTTGCTTATCACATCCAGACGCTTCTTTTTCCAATTTGCTTTGAAGTCGGTAAGGCTGGTGCAATAGTAGCTCTTGTACATCAGGGAGATCATGTTCAGCACACATTTGACCACATACCTATCCATCAAACCCGATGCATTCATGGAGACGTCCTGACAGTAGGCTCTCTCTTGATGCGCATAGATTCGAGGTTCCGGTACTCGACAATATATAGGGAGATCCTCGTTATCTCTTCCTTCTTCGGGATTGAACTCGGTCGCTCCATGCTGTGTGTAGTATCCCGGTTCATCACGATCTGTCGGTCGATTTGCCTCCGGATGTAAGTCGTCGGTGACGTCTTCATCCTCGGGCTCACCATCTTGACGTTTCTTCCCCTCATATTGTTGTGTGCTCCTCTGGATCTCGATGATCACGTTTCGTTCGTCCTCATCTTCGAGATCAGAATCACGACCGTAGTCGATCTCATCCTCATTGAAAGATGGGGTCTCGACATTGTCACTCTTGGGATTCTCTGCATCATCAGACGGTTTGGAAGGATCTTGATTGTCCATGTCCTCGTCGTCATCAGTTGCTTCAGTTTGAGCGATGTCTTCTTCCCAAGCCTTTCTGATCTCGTCCATAGTGGCCTGATCCATCATATCTTGATCATCATGTTCAGGCTTCTTCTCTTCCTTCTTTTCCTCTTCATCGTCGCTCATAAGATCAACGGGTGAATCGGAAATGACAGTGTTGCGAATACCACACGAGAGTAGCCTGCCTTGACAAGATAGGCATACGGACAAAGATGAAGAAGTCAAATGCATACATGATGGACACAAAATATTGCCATCCACGTTGCGATATCCTTCACATGTCCTGGAGATGATTTCGTCCCAAGTTTCCTCACTGATGGAATCCTCGATCAGCTCTCCATTGTCATCGAATCGTACTTCATCGATAAGGGACACGAGCTTCTGGACGTTGTCATCTGTCGCCGAGGCTGACTTTGTGACTTCGTCGGCTCTCCCGAGGATGGTATGCTTCTGAGCAACCCAGAGTCCATGACGTGCCGCTAGAACGACTTGTTCTCCAGTGCTTCCCAGCAGGAGTCTCCTCCATGCCAGACCGTGGTCGTCCCAATACCAAGCGCCTCGTACACATCTCCATGGAACTTCTCTAAAAACAACAGTGTAGGAATTCTCCGAAATTCTCCCTCCAAGCTTCCTCAAAGTCATGATTGGAACATAAAGGCAAACGGGCATTCCCACTCTTGGCCATCTTGATCTCAGAATCTTTGATGATCGATCATCCCACGGCGCAAAGTGGTTGAAGAATACACTACCTCTATATCCATCCATTCCACCAGGGACAATTCCTAGTTTCATGATCGACTCAATATTGGAAAGCGATGTCATGTGAAAGCTTCCTCCAAGCTGCATTGCCACATTCTCTGGAATGAGATGTGAAGTCCATACGGGATATATTGACACATCCTCTTCAAGAACAGTCTCTCTTCCAGAATTGTGAGATGCAACGGCTCGAATTGCACAAGGAACGATCCAACGTTCATGCTTCAGAAATGATGGTGCATCTGTGCCGTGAAACATGAGGTTTGCCCAGTATCGCCTTTCCTCTTCGATTGAGACATCCTCCTTTGAGATGCGAACGGCGGCAATCTGATAGCGTACTCTGTTCTGCAACTTCTTTGCATGCCACATCGCCTTGCATAAATATTGGTACCGCTCTGTCTTGATATCTTGCTCACGTCGGGTACCTGTGATAGTACTGATATTGACACCATCGTTGAAGATATGATCATATTCCAGGATCTCATCGATGTTCACCCATCCACCCTCATTGCACTTCGGGGACACATGAGGTTTTCGACCGCGGTGCGATTGAATCCCATTATGTTTTCCCACTCCATGCCTGAGTAGTCTATTGAGCCTGTGGCTAATCTCGTTGATCCATTGACTCTCCTCACTGAGCTTGTCGATGCGGATTGCTGGGTTCATCTTTGGTGGATCCGTGTAAGTTGCATCAACCTTCGGTCCATTCCAGTACTCCACATAGAATGTAACTCCATATTGTGGAATTATCTCAATGTTTCCGTCGCAAGTCACCTCAATCTGCCGATAACCAGCCTTTTGAGATTGTTGTAGATCAGGAGCAAGGTCTTTCACCTTGGGCATCTTTATTCCGAGTGCTGCAGCCTCCTGAATAAGTGCATCAAGTTCCCTCTTTCCATCAGGACCTGATCTATCAACCCTGTGATTTGCGACCTTGTACTCTCCTCCTTCTTTGTCATCGGCAATGTCAAAGAGGTCGACGGGCTCTTTGAATCTGGTGACGAAGCTAGCGTTCCCAAAGGCCTTCTTGGTTGCCTCGACCGCTTTCGCGTATTCCTCTTTTGCAGAGTCTGACGATTGTGGTCTACCTTTGGCTCTCGGAGAGTAAGGTGGTACCTTACTTCCTAGTTCCGGTTCTTCTTCGGGAAGTTCAATATCTTCATCATCCACATCCATGTAGTCCTCGTCTTCGACGTCTTTGGATGACTTTGCTTTCCTCTTCCGGCTTTCAACATCACGTCGGATGATTGCCTTGTCATCCTCGGTGAAGCACTTGCGCATAGTGTCCTCCATATAAGAGAATGATTTCATCAACACGTCCTTCTTCTCAGTGTCGGGACAAATAGCCAAGTGATGTTGGTTTGAACCACAACAATAACACACATTTTGGCTCTCTGCGCGTGCTCTGACTCTTCTGAGGTTGTCATATGCGGATTTCCAGCTGGAGGCGACTGCTGTACCTTGCCCACCGCGCTTGGCAGCTCTTTTCCGATCCTCAGTATCCGGATTCGATGTCGGGTAGTGCGACCATGTTTTCGTCGGAGATATTGAACGACCCTCCCCATCCTTGTAGTCTTGCGGATCAAGCTCAGGCGTAGGCGGTTCAGGCTCCTCGACTCCTGGAGTGGTACTCGCAGGGTCGGCTTCGCCA